AGGGCTGGTTGAATAGAGCTGGATGTTGACCTGCAGCAGAGTCACATCCACATCTGCTGTTTCTGTCCTGAACACAACACCTCAGCTGAGCTGCAGGAGGCTCTGGAAATCTCCTGAAATCAGACTCAACTAAATCACATTATCCAGATCCACAGAAATCTGATCAAGCCTGTTTTACTAGAAATTTATTGGACCTAGAGTTCTGATTGGGATCTTCTTTCTGTTTGGTTAGAAATAAAAACATAATTTAAGATTTACTTCAGGTAGACAATCACTCATCTAGAAATGAAGCTGAATATGTAGAAATAAAAGTAGAAATAATAAAGCTGAAATAAAAAAAATCAGATCTTCTCTCATTATTTCCTCAGATAAATTCCTGGTTTACAGAGAACTAAACTAATTCACACAAAAATGTGTTGACTGGAAAAGAGCTAAAAACTGAACCCAAAACAGAAAAAGTTTAAATATGACCAAAGTGTTTAACGGCTCAGTTCATTGTTGACACAATGGGAAGAAGAAGACATCACCACAGGACAGGAGCTTTAACTCACTCTCTCAGGGGGCGGGGCCTCAGGTGAGTCAGGTCTAGTCAGGTATCAGATCTGGAGAAACAGGTTCAGACTCCAGTTAGTAACTACAGAACAGAGAGACGAATCTGGAGGTGGGTGAGTGTTGATCTTTTGTTTTCCTTTCACTGAATTTTCTCTCTGGGAACAGTGGAGGGAAGCAGAAGAAGAATTTAGTCTTGTTCTCCTTCAGCTTTAAATCTATGTCTTGACAATGTTTTTATTTGATGACAGACAAATGCAAACTGACAGAAAGTTAAAATATTTTATCTAATTGGGAATCTTGGACCGACCTGTTTGTGAACTCACAGTTAAAAATGAGGACAATCAGTTTTTCTCTCAAACTGACTGAAACCACAAGATGGAAGATTTTGAGCAGGAACAAGATGACGTAGCAGAACAGTCATAATAATGAAGGCATATAATTATAAAGAAGAAATTAGTATTCTGGTCCAAAGATCCAGATATGGTGACTAAAGATAAGAGCTTAGATCCAAACTCAGCAGTTGTAGAACTTTATTTCCTGCTGCTTTTAGTTATTTAGTCTTTTCTTTGGTTCTTATTCCTACCTGCTCTTTCCAAATGTCTTAATTTGAGGCCTGAAACTGAGACTGACTGAACTCTTGATCATCTGAGGGGAAACCCAATAACTTTCAATGACACAAAAATAAGGTTGAAATAGACCTGCTGAAGTTTTCTATTAAAGTGCAGCTGGTTCTGAGTTAACAGGTCCAGTTAGTTTCCT